TTCACTTGTTTAGTTAGTGTTATCCCAAGGTATTTTATATCACTTGTGGCTATTGTAAAGGGTGATGTTTCTCTGACTTCTTTCTCAGCCCTTTTATCATTTGTGTATAGGAGGGCTACTGATCTTTTTGAGTTGATCTTGTATCCTGTCACTTTACTGAAGGAGTTTATCAGCTGTAGGAGTTCCCTGGTAGAATTTTGGGGTCAGTTATGTATACTATCATATCATCTGCAAATAGTGAAAGTTTGACTTCTTTTCCAATTTGTATCCCTTTGATCTTTTGTTGTCTTATTGCTCTAGCTAGAACTTCAAGTGCTATATTGAATAATATGGGGAGAGTGGACAGCCTTGTCTTGTTCCTGATTTTAGTGGAATTGCTTTGAGTTTCTCTCCATTTAATTTGATGGTGGCTGTTGGCTTGCTGTAAATTGCCTTTATTATGTTTAGGAATGTTCCTTGTATTCCTGATCTCTCTAAGACCTTTATCATAAGGGGTGTTGTATTTTGTCAAAGGCTTTTTCAGCATCTAATGAGATGATCATGTGGTTTTGTTCTTTCAGTTTGTTTCTGTGGTGTATTACATTGACAGATTTTCCCTGGGATGAAACCTACTTGGTCATGGTGGATTATTTTTTTGATGTATTCTTGGATTCGGTTTGCCAATATTTTGTTGAGTATTTTTACATCAATGTTCATGAGGGAGATTAGTCTGTAATTCTCTTTCTTTGTTGCATCTTTGTGTGGTTTGGGTATCAGGGTAAGAAGGATGGATCCTGTTTTCTTATCCATTCTGTTAGTCTGTGTCTTTTTATAGGTGAGTTGAGACCATTGATATTGATGGCTATTAATGACCAGTGATTGTTAATTCCTGTTATTTTTTTGTGGTCGTGTTGTGTTTTCCTTCTTTGTTGTTTGTTGGTGTGGGATTATCTATTGCCTGTGTTTTCATGGGTATGTTTAACTTCTATAGGTTGGATTTTTCTTCTAGTACTTTCTGTAGGGCTGGATTTGTGGATAGGTATTGTTTAAATCTGGTTTTATCATGGAATATTTTGTTTACTCAGTCTATGGTGATTGAGAGTTTTACTGGGTATAATAGTCTGGGTTGGCATCCGTGGTCTCTTAGTGTCTGCATAACATTTGTCCAGGACCTTTTAGCTTTCATAGTCTCTATTGAGAACTCTGGTGTTATTCTGATGGGTCTGCCTTTATATGTTACTTGGTCTTATTCCTTTGTGGCTCTTAATATTTTTTCTTTGTTCTGTATGTTTAAGTGTTTTGATTATTATGTGGTGAGGGGACTTTTTTTGGGTGGGGTGGGGTGGGAGGATCCAGTCT